TACTAATCAATTCAAGAAATGAAAATTTTATCTATTATACATCACTTCGGAATGAATTGAAAGCATAATCCTTGGGTTTTCTTTTTATTTTTATCTTATTTATAATACAGTATATGCAGCACGTAATCATTTGTGAATCAGCGAGATGATGATTCACAATGAAGAACAGTTGAAATTAATTCGTATAGCTTGCCGCTCTTTCTCACATTATTCAAACCTATTTTTTATCTACATTTCGAACGAATATCTTGAGTGTTTTTTATTTTTCAAACTAATAAAAGGAAATACAATAATTTCGCAATTGTTATATTTTAAAGAGAAAATTTTCATATTTTATTTATAGTTTATTAATAGTGTTATGTAACCGTAGCTATTGTGCTTTACCATGTCTATAGATTATCATTTTTTGTTTAATAACACGAGGTGAGGAAAATATTAAAATATCACTGAAAGACAAATAAATATTTCTTTTTTTTAATGTAAAGTCAGGAGATATTAATATATTTATATTTATATATATATATATGTAATATATAATTAAATCATAGTATATGATGCGTGGGCGCGCAGCCACACACACACACACACATTCAAGACACACGTACGCATATATATATTTTAAATAAATAAATTCGTGTTTGTGAATTATGATAATTCTACGACCATGATTGTAATTGCTCTAGTAAGATTTTACGATGTCATAAATAATTCTTGTAAATACAACTAAAATAACTCTTCCGGGTATTCAATAAAATGCAATGTTTCTGGCATTGGTCAATTGACGTTAAAAGTAACAAATCCGACATAAGCTCTCAGTCTTCGTTGTGGTCCCATAACTGTAAAATTTATCGCATCCGCGCCTTGTTCTTTTCATCGTCGTAGTATAATCAGAGCAAATGGGCACTTGTTTTCCAAAAGACATTGCAAATAAAAGGAAGTTTGAATTATTCATGAAACGTCACGGATGTTACATTGTTTACTTGAGCGAATCCAATACTTTTTCGGCTACTATTTGCGTTTTTGTGCGTAACCTGCTTTTGACGATCAAATTTGCTAATCCTTATTATTGATTTTAGAATTTTAAAGTCGGAAGATATTCCTGTGAATTGCGTATTTATTGATAAGCTACTTTTAAATACTGGACAGATGATATTTAAGATTCATTCGAGTGCTAAAGAAATAAATTGACTACGGTATTTTAATAATTTCGAATTAGGGTTGGAATACTGCATTTCATCAACTAATTTTGTTCTTTTGTTTTCTCTGAGCAGTCACGAAAGAATCTGCACTCTAAATTTTTTCTTTAGCAAATAGATTTAAGTTTCGAATTAAAAACGATATACTAGAAATGCTGTTAATATCAGCTTATATAAATATGTATGTATTATTATATTATAGATTACTTTATAGATTTTACTAAGTATTAAAAAAATAAATAATATGCGCATATAAACATGTACAAAATAAATAATGATCATGTTATTTTTACAACAAATTTAACATTAGCAAAATTCGAAGATTGTTATTTAAATATTTATGTATGCTTGGGCACGTTCTATATTCATAAAAAAAGACGCATGAACTTTTAACGATGCAGATAATAATTTTTTCTATCAGCTTGGAGGCAGTTATTAAAACTTCAAACAAATGCTTTTGAGATTACAATTTTTTTTTATCCTCTAGTATGTAGGACACTTTCAAGTTTTTAACTAAAAAATGGTAAAAAATTATCCTGTATTATTACACATTTATCATTGTATTCATTATGATAATTGATGATTTAAAAAAATTATTTTTTATGTGATCGATAGTGATATATCGTATATATTATTAGGATTCAAATATTTCCGTAGATGTGATGCGCATTAAAATTTATTTTCAAGTAACAATAAATTATAATTTATAAATGATAAATGTATAAGATATAATTAGATTATTCTCGATAAAACTACCAGTTCATTTATTGGTGGTTGATTAACATAAAAACGCTTACGGTCGCAAATATTCATCAAATCATCAATCTCAGCAACATCAAAATTGAGGTCATGAAATTCGATTTTTTTCAGCCCGTAAAATCAGTTCATTTTTACAATGAGCTTGATAACTAACGAGAAACTATTAATTTTTGTGTAAAGTAGCGCGAAATTAATGTTGAGTTATCTTATGAATAATAAAAAATTCTATTCATTGACTCGTAATGTTTAAAAAACGATTATGATACAATAACTATGTTATTACTAGTGCTTACAGTACAATATGCATTTTACGAAAATATTTAGGAAGTCCGTTTTACGGAGTGAGTATATGACGTAATATTCGTCTGACAAAAAGCTCAAACAAGGAGATTAAAATTTAAAGTTTCGTCGCGTATTAAAGCGGTTTTTAACATTAGTAATTATCATTGTATACCGTATAATCGAATGTAACTTATAATACATAAAAATGTACTAAATATTTAACGAAACTACTTGTAAAAGCACATCGTGACTACTTTTAGAATTTCCTTGTTTCCTCCAACAAGTTTCGCTTTGAGACGTTATATCAGAAAAAGATCGTTTTCACGAGCCCAAAGCCGCAAATGGCTGTGTAAAGTTGCGTTGAATTCCATGTCGGCTTGGAAAAACCACGGCGACAGAACTATAAAAGAACATTCGAGTACGTACAAGCGTTAATAAGAGTTTGGGGATAACTAAAGGGAAAGGAGGCCTACATAAAGAAACACGAGTAAGGAGTAGGAAGACGTAACCAATGACGCCTGTTGACTCGCGACTTTACAACTGACCCCAAGAAATGAGGCGAAGACACGCGTGCCCTCTCGCTCTGCTTTCAATTAGCTAGTTAATAAACTACTAACAATCTACAACTTGATACGCTGATGGAAGCTCGCATGGAATTACAAGACGAGGCACCAAATGTATTTTCAGGGTTTTTCGTTTAAACTACGGTTTAGCGTTTTTGTCATATCTCACCTATTACTACTATTACACTTTTCACAGGGTTTCTTTCAAATACTTTGTCATGTAAAATCTTCATTTCTGGATGTTGCGAATGTTAAAACAGAAGCGAATAGACGAGTTGAATAAAGTCTGCAATCGGTAGTCATTGTTCTCTAGTAACAGGCAATCTTTGTTTCTTTATAAAAGACATGTTTAGAAAATATTTCACAACATTTACGATTATAAAGAGTAAAAAAAAGGATTAAAATAACAGTAAAAAGTTATTCTATTGAAAATTGGCATAATGAAAAATTGTAAATGGTAAATCCTTAGTAAAACTTAACTACTTTTGCAGAGTACAAATGTTCAAGTTATGGGCAAAATTTTATTTTTCGTTAAGGCTTTTTTTTGACGAATTTTTATAATATTTATTAGAAATTCAATATGAAGAAGAATTTTATACGGAGATAAATAAACACATTAACCTTCACGTGTATCAATCAAGTTTTATTAGCCTTCGTAATTTATCGCGTTATATCAAATACTTTAAACGAATTATATGAGCAACAAAATTATGAAAGAAATTTTCACTATCGTAAATTATGTAATCGATTATCATTTTTCATTATATTTATTTAATTAATAATGTCCTTATTGGAGTTAATCGGCGAGTCGCCCGCAATGTTAAACTAACTCGAAATATCAATACATCTTATGATCCTTCATTGTAGATAATTATAACACAATATTTAAAACAAGCATTATATTACAAACGATATACATCAGATAATATGAAAAGTAACTTGGTCATCCGAGTAGAGAGAAAACTTGACTCTATCTCGTGTAAAAATGATGATTATGATGACGCGTGAAAAAATTTATCCCGTGTAAGGAGCACAATGTTGTCTCTAAGGAACGAAAATGCCAGGTATTAAAGGCTTTGTAAATAGAATCACTCCAAGAGTGATAAAATTTCATTCATAAGGTAAACTCTAAAGAACATACTTTATGAATATGTCAAATTAAACCGTTGCTGTTCAACGAACTAATTGCCGGCCAGCCGGCTATCCCCCCTCCCCCCTCCCCGCCCGCGAGTGACAGTATTCGCTGAAGAGTCAAGCAAACGCGCTTTGCATAAAGTGACTCAAATTATGCTCGCTTGAAAATCGCAGATCAAATAATTGTGTATTGAATTACTCGCTATGTACTCGTAGCTTGAATTTTCTACTCCGACGATACAAAAGGCCTCAACGTGAGAGCAGTGGAGCTCTGGAACGGCGATCGCGCCGGAAGTCAGTCACTGGACCCATACTGTCCCCATTATAAAATTGTTCTCGGTGCTTCGTCAACGAGGCCATTTAGCCCCGACTCTTTAAGGAATGCGCAACAATTCACATGAACAGTCCATGGACACGTGTTCTTACGACTGCGGTTTTCAGGGACGTGGAGTTGTCGTTATACCGACGCCCCTCTCAGTTTTTATTTTATCTTGCCTATTCACATTCACAGGCAACGGTAGAAGTAGGGTCAAGTGGCATATATATAGTTAGCTGCATATGACAATTAACGGTGATCGATAATTATTAGCAGAGAGATATCGAGCTTTGATTGGCTGATAGTTATTGAACAAGATCTTTTAGGAGGATAAGACAATCCATGAATGTATCCTATTATTTTACAAAGATTGCAAAAACCGATATTAAAATTATAGTAAATTGATCCTTGACTCGATGATTTAATGCCTTTGCAATGGCAAAACCAGTCGAGCGTTTAATAAATGTGGATTTCTTAATTTGATGTAAGAATTGCGGAATGCGCATTTGCTCATTCTTCTCGTTTATCCACTATCATTTGATCTTTACGAATGTCTGTCCGAGTGAATGAATCAGAATAAAAATTGAAAAAGCAGATGACTTTAGATATTCAAGGTGTTGTAGCTTACACACAACGACACAATTTGAAATAATTTCAATTTATATATAATCGTATTATAATGTCACAAATTATAAATTTATTACAATACAATAATAAATATAAAAATACCATGTGCCATTTTTGTTTCAGAATAAAAAGCAGTAAAAAATGGCGGTATTTGGATTGGTCTCCGCCGTTGCCGGCTTTGTGAAAGTGCGGTATTTAATTGACAAGGCCATTATTGATAATATGGTCTTCAGGGCGCATTATAGAATTACCGCCGCTATTCTATTTGCTTGTTGTATCATAGTCACGGCAAACAATCTAATAGGTAAGCGCTGGGGCATTTTTTTTCTCTTTTCGCTCTTCTTTGCGTTCACATCGTTATACTTCGTTTTATATGTGTATTTGCTTCAAATGCTTAATACCGTTATTACGTTTTATCGATATTACACATTATTTTATCAATCATGCTTAATATTATTAATTACCGATTAAATATTAATGTCATTTTTAAATTGTTTTGGCTTTTCATATTACATTACATCACATAAAAATTCAATTTTAACAATACAGTATATTTTCTGTCATATCATAATTGTTTATTATAAAAAATTGTGTAGCTTTTTAAAGTAACCAGCAAATATTTTAGTAAATGACAAAAATCTTGATATATTTATGTAAATACCATTGCAAGCTGAGATTTCGAATCACATATAAATTGTATTTATGATAAAATTATACGTAGACTCGATGACACTTGGTATATAGACTTGCCTGTGTACAAGACAATGTTCAAAAATTTTCTTCCAAACTTCATAACATAAATTTCAAAAATTTAGTCTTTGGTTAAAAAAAGCCTCTTCTTATATTCGCAACAAAGGTTCTCAAGAGCTCAAGTAAGTATTGGAGCGCCATCGGCTCGGAATCATTAGTTGCCTTATTTCAGCCACGAGCCTTAAAGCGTCGGGCTCTATGAAAAAAAAACGGACTAAACGGATGCAAATACAGATTACGAATTATCGTCGGCCAATGGATAGCCTTCGACATTATACGTCTTTTGCTCATGTCATGGTTGAACGAATATTCGATGGCCTTGGCAGGCAATCAGACTGGGGCAGTCAGTTTCACCTTGAAACAGAATTGACTGTGCATGCAACAGTCGCCGGTCTGTCGAGTCTGGGTCGATGTCTCCTCCATATGCGAAGGGAACAACTCACGACTAAATTCGTTCATTCCGCTCTAGCCCTTTTTCAAGTTGCATCGAGCATTTTTTGAATATCGAATAAATGTCATTAATAATTTTATAATCCTTCAATTGCAGACAAATATCGTTTGAATTAGTAATCAATATAAGTTCTTGCACTTTTCTACTATTGACTCGTACAACGTAGTAATAGAACTTTTATCGTAACCAATTGGAATTAAAACTAAAGGTATGCACTTTAACGTATATGCATACAAGACACAATGAAATAGCATATTATTAAATTATGTGATTTATAATATTGCGAAGTAGAATACTTTAATAGAAAGAATCTTTTTCTTTTTTTTTTAATGAAAATACCAATAAAAAGATTTATAATCTTATATAACAGTTCTCATTTTCTGTTATGATGTATTGTATGTTTTAAAAGTATTTTTAATGACTTTATAATACTGATAATAAAGTTAAATTGTTCGGTCGATTATCGCAGTTATTGTAATAGAGTCTGACAAGTCAGAAAGTTGACTAGCATTAAATCATAATATAGTAATTTTATTCATTGAAAATAATACGCTTGGTAGTTTCTGAGCAGTTCAAATATTTTAAATGATGCCCTTATCGGTACGATACAATGAAAATGTATATTAATGCAAAAATATTTATATAAGCCATTAATGCAGAAATATCAGATCTCTCTGTCAACTCGATTTTACTGTGTTACATCATAATTCATTCAAACTAATCATTCATACTATTCCTCTCTCTCTCTGTGTGTGTGTGTGTGCGCGCGCGCGCGTGAATGCGTGCGTACGTGCGCATGTGTATCAGTAGAATTCATTGTTTTTTACGAGCTATCTAGATAAAATTGTACACATACCCATGCACTTATATTATTAATGAGGTACGTCCGCGTGAGCCCACAATCACACTTAAATCTTGTCTAAAATTTCATCGTCTCTACATATTGCCCCCGTATATTCAGGAGCATTACTGCATAATCTTACTTGGTATTTCCTGGAAGCGAATGACCAGCATTATCACGATCATCAAATGTTGCAATTTACAGTCAGCACTTTTACCTATCTACAGAAAACTAATAAAAGAAATATAAAACAAAGTATAAATATACAAAGTAGAATTTTATTGTACAATATATTATACGCGTTGCTTTGCGCGTAGCGATTAGTAGCAAATTAGTAGGTGAGTGTTAGTATTCACCGATTTACAAAGTGATCGTCATTAAAACAAAGACGCTCGCGTCCCAAAAAGTAGCGAGTCAATTAATATAGGAAGTAGCGGTTCGAGACTAATGAGTCGCCTTTGCATTTTCTGTGTTTCAGGCGATCCCATAAATTGTATCTCGGATGGCGCGGTACCAGGTCACGTGATAAACACGTACTGCTGGATCACTTATACGTTTACCCTGCCGGCGAACAATGTCAAGCAAATTGGGACCCATGTAGCGCACCCCGGACTCGGTGGCGATTACGGCGAAAAAAGGTACCACTCGTACTACCAGTGGGTACCGTTCATGCTCTTTTTCCAAGGTGTCCTCTTCTACGTACCTCACTGGATGTGGAAACAGTGGGAAGAGGGTAAGATCCGCACCATCTCCGAAGGCATGCGGGGCGCAACGATGGACTCCAAGGGGGAACGACACGCGCGCATGCAGCGACTCGTCCAGTACATTTTCGACACTATGCACCTGCACAACAGCTACGCAGCCGGTTACTTCTTTTGCGAGGCGCTCAACTTTTTCAACGTCGTAAGTTCTCGATTAAGTTCTCTTGCGCTCCGCGGCACTTACAAGTTCCTTTCTCATACTCGCGAAAACGTGTTTTGCAATTTTCCGCCCGTTATAAGCTAATACGACATACATTATATTAAATATATGGCAAAAGTGTAACAGCAAAAGCCACAACTCTATAGCCCAGTGGCGAAAGAATGAGGTTTCCACTGTATTTTGGAGCTAAAAGTTGTGCTTATAATCACCTGTCAGCTCATGGGATATTGGTAATTATAGGGCTGCGAGGAGCAACAACCGGTTATTTACTCTTGTATACTAAGTTACAATGTGGTGCATGTACAAGACTTGCTAAACGCTTGCCCAGGTCTTTTAAAGGCGCCTTTTTCGAAAGAATGTTTCCCGAGAATGCCGATGTCGTGATTCAAGTTATATGCTAATGAAAAATTTGGTAGTCGAGTCGTTTCGAATTTGGCGGATCGGCCAAAGTTAATTATGCCAATAAATGATTGACGAATTATTTCGTAAACATTAATGACTTGAGACCCAATTTGTTTCCGTAATTTTAGAACGCTTAAAAAAATTGGCATACCTATTTGAGATACAAAAGATCAAAGGATCGCCAGATAATATTAAAATTGATAATTAGATCCTTAATCGTCTGCGTGATATTTTCAGGTTGGTAATATATTCTTCATCGACACTTTTCTTGGCGGCGCTTTCCTCACTTACGGTTCGGACGTTGTCAAGTTCAGTAACATGAATCAGGAACAGCGTACCGATCCGATGATCGAGGTCTTCCCGCGCGTCACCAAGTGTACGTTTCATAAATTCGGTGCCTCCGGGACAATTCAGAAACACGACGCCCTCTGCGTGTTAGCCCTCAATATCCTCAACGAGAAGATCTACATATTCCTCTGGTTCTGGTTCATCGTATTGGCGGTAATGTCTGGACTGGCGCTGCTATATAGTATGGCTGTCGTGTTATTGCCTAGCACACGCGAAACCATCCTCAAGAAGCGCTTCAAATTCGGCACCCCAGCAGGCGTTAGCACGTTGATCAGAAAAACTCAGGTAAGAGCTCATATTACCATTATTGCCAACCAAATTGAATATATAAAAATCATAATAATATAAAACGTATGGATTATATTTTATTAAATAAGTCGGTTTTAATGCGTGTTTGTATTTTTTCGTGTTGCTGGGTATCAAAAGTAATTAATTACATGAAAGCGTCGCGCAGCGTAGTACGATTATTTCAAATAAGTTGAACACCTCCAAATATTTAATATAAATGATTAATATGCCACATGATGTTTGCAATACATTTGTCCATTTGAAGCTTTAATGTCTGAATGCGTCACATTAAATGCATTCACATTTAATTGCAAAAACTCATTAAGCTCGTAAAATTCAAAATTTTAGCGGCATCTATCGTAAGATATAGCTAGATAACGACTAATTTAATTATTGAATCAGACGTATATATTTCGTCACTTCTTCCCAGATACAATTGTTATTGAGTTTAAAGAATAATTAATAATAAAAAAAAACATGAATAAATGTTTTGCTATTAAATTAAGACTTATTAATTATTTAGAGTGAAAAATCGTTGTTGCAGAATATGCGTACCAAACTTTTAACGACATTACAAATTACTGTAAGATAAATATAAATGTTGATGCTCAACGTGTTTGATTTTGAAGGTCGGCGACTTCCTGCTGCTACACCTACTAGGTCAAAACATGAACATGGTGGTATTCAATGAAGTCCTCGACGAGCTTTGCCGTCTGATACACGCGGAGGGCTCTAGCAGTGGAACCTCACCGGTCTCGGTACCTTCGGCCCCCAGCACCCTCGAGATGTCGCCTATTTATCCGGAGATCGAGCAGTTCTCTAAGGATACGGAGATTTAAGAGAGGCGGTGGCACCTCACCTAGCACTTTCGACAATATATGTGATATATGATGAATTGTGGGGATTGTTTTCCCCCTCGCATCAAAAATGAATAAGGAGATACAGGGAAAGCGCTGGCATGGTGGATAATATAACAAAACAAAGCTCTCTCTTTCTCTATTTCGCTTTGAGGACGTTGATGTTCTTCTGCACAGAAGAGGTGAACTTTCCCTTGAACCAAAACGTATCTCGCTCTTTCGTATTAGAGTTTACGTTCGCTTGCCATCACTGAAAACGATGTATACCGCTATTGACATTAACAATATAATAAGGAGCTTTCGTCCGAGTATAAAGTTAAAGAGGAAGAAAGGTGAGACGTACTGCGCGGAGCGGAGGACCACTTCAATTGCATGGAGTTTATACTGGCAAAGGACCGAATGAAGACGTAAACGAATGAGAAAAGCACCAGTGTAAAGTCTATGTATTAACGAAAGGAAAATAAGGAAGCCGCGGAGACCGTTTACGAGCTTCAAAGCGTTGGGCTGTGAGTGTGTGTTAGGAAAAGCGTTCTCTGCTTTGTCGCCGATATTAGACGGACTACAATGAATTTCCTGGACCCTCCAGACGACCAAATTTCTGCAATGATGACAATAAAGACGACCACGACGACGACGATGACGACGAAAATTTTTTAAAGTTATAATAGAGCTGCCGTAGCGCACGATTTTTGCACAATATAACATTACTATATTATTGTATTTTATTATATTTTTTTTCCTTGTTTTTTCGTTAGGCAGTACGTCAATTGAGCCTACGAAAATGCTATATAGGGCCAGTCGATAATCTTATCGATATTATATTAATGGAAGAAAAGTGTAAAAAAATTCCATTCGGCCATACAAATATTTAATTATTGTAGGCATAAAGTAATGTTATGTTTAATTTTATTTTCCTTAAGCTTTTTAAGCCCAGAATGTTTTCTTGAATTTTGTGTAGTAAAAGTATTGGAGAAATCGACAATTAATTAATTTATTTTACAATTTTGGACTCACGCCATTTATGAATTATGTAATTATTTAGTTGCGATATTAATATATTATGTTATTCCGCAAAACAATTTACTTGTAAACACAAATTATAAATTAATTTCATAAATATTTTTCAAAAATTATAAAGCTAATTATAAAAAATACTATACTATAATTTATAATTGCGAATAAGTTGGTTTCTAACATATATGATTGTCAAACATTATTATATACTGCACTTTTTTTTAATGTTTAATTGACATACTGCCTGATTCAGTTTGTTATCGGCATCAAATTTGGCAAATTAGCTGCGCGAAACATAAATTTTCTAATAGCTAAAATTACTGTGTTAGTCAATTTAATTTTTCAATATTACTTTCTTTCTCCTCCCTCTCCCTTAAAATAACATACATGTATCCTTTTTCTCTCATTCTATTATTTATTCGTCAAAGTTAAAATATTTCATTTAATGTGCATTTGAAAACAAGAACTTTTAAAATATTATTTTTATCGTTTCTGCAGTTGAATCAAACGTTGATAATAATGAGAGAATCAAAATAATAAGTTTAAGATTAAAGTTACAACTTAAAAAAAAAAATGTAATTATGAAAATATAATTCACTATTTTAATATCATATACATAAATAAATAATAAATACGATAAAATAAGAAGTAATTATCATTTATACTTTTTTAATATATATAATGACAAAAATAATAGACATAAAATAACTTGATTCATCTTGGCTTTTATAAAATTTGGCATTTAGAATAAATTCATTACAATGAATGCATTATAAAAACAAAGCATTTGTACGTAATTAATTATTCGTTGTATTAATAGCTTTGAATAACACTTGTAATAAGTAATACGAGAAAGCTTCTACAAAAAAAAAAAAACAATTAAACTCCTTTACAATACGATTGAAATTTTAATTCATGTAAACTTTTTTATAATACTAATATAACGAAATATAGATTTTTCGCATAATTTTTGTGCGTGTTATTGCCATTGTGCTCAGCGCCGCCCTGTTCTTTATATTAGACTTTCTGAATAATTTTCGCGATTCACACGGAATGAAAAATGAGCCAGTGGCAGTATATTTTTTTTTTATTTTCCGAACGTAAGAGAGTGCATCTCCGTCCAAGAAACTTTCCATACATAAAATACATATTTCGTTTCATTGTATGCTTTATTAGGGAATAAATGTCCCCCATCATTCTTTTTCTCTTTTTATTAGGATTATTGCTGTGCACTTATGCATTTTAAATCAAAAGTATTTCTTTTTAATAAATTACATAATGCTGTAGCAGTAAGTAGGAGAAAGGAATTAGTAAAAGCTTCAAAATTTTGTAAATGCTTGAAAATTGTATAAAAAATCCCATATTAAAACTGAATTATTATCTGCTGTATTGCGCTGGATTTAGATAAAAAATATAAGAAAAATAATGAAAAATAATAAATTTTGTGTATCTTTTCAAACTAGCAATTAATAAGAGAAAAATAATTCGTTACTTATATAGATCATAGAGCTCGAATATATGTAGATATATATATATATATATATATATATATATATGTGTGTACGTATATATAGTTTATGCATATATTATATAGACCTGTTCTTTGAATGACATGTTCATAAGTTCATCAAACTTTGCGAGAAGATGGAGAATTAGAATAATGAAATAGAGAAGTAATGATTGTAAGAATTGATAAGTTGAAAGATTGACTAAAATGTAGTTATTTGTAATTTTTACTATGTGCCTCTTGTAGAATTATAAAAACACTTAGACATTAAGAGACTTTATGAATAATAGAAAGTTGTATTCTCATTCGTTATTATATATAATTTACGCCGCTATGCAAAGTGAGAGGAAGACTGCCAACTTGTGCAAAGCCGTTAATTGAAAAAAGCAATTGTGAATTTATAAAGTAGTAAATAAAGCTATTTCTCCAAAAATATATTTATTTTTTGTTATTAATTTCATCGTACTATTTACAAATTAAATACTTACCTGCGATATTTCATATTAGTGAAATATTTGGAAACATAAAATTATATTTAAAAATATATAAAAAACAAATACCATAGTCACGTTACACCTTCAAATGTATATGCACAGTTATAAATTCTATTAACTACGTAATAATATATAGTTTATAAAATCTACAGCTGATAATTTGTAAATTAGAAATAGGGAAATTATTAAACAACGAATAATTTCATTTGATACTCATTATTATATTACGAACCTCCAATTATGAGAAACAATATTTTTTTAAATCTACTTCAAATATTTATTCCAACGGTCTTCGTTATAATCGAATAAAAATAACTAATAATTCTAAAAACTTCAATTCAAATCTCTTTCATAAATAATAGATTATTAAATATTGATTTGTAAAATCAAAGCTAAGTGTAGATACGATGCTAAAGCTCGAATCGTATACGTAGTGAAAGTAAGTAGAAATTAATTTTATCATACTGTGGAAGGGTTGAGTTCATTGTACCGAATAAGCCGGCGTCATTCCCAATGTGTATATAACTACGTTAAAGCAAATTCATTATCGACAGTAGCCTTGCCATTACTCACCGGTTTCCCCAGTCGACCTTGTTGATTATCTGCAACTTGAGCTCGCGAGTTTGATCGGTAGTGAGGGTGCCGGCTAGTAACTGGCGCCTCCACTCCAGCAGCTCGCACATCACTTTCCGAAGGGTATTGAACTTGTAGGTCTCCCGATCCTGTGGAACAGAGCCCATTCAACTTACATTCAACTCGTCAATGCTGAATTATACGAGTCCAAGTGCCGATTCTGTCGCGCGAGCTTTTTGTTCAGCAACAGATTCTGTCTCATGATTTTAGAAAATTGTTTAGATACTTTTTGATACTTTTATAGCATTTATGGCAGAAACTCACTTTCGACATATGGCTTCGTTGGTACTCCTGGATTTTACCTCGAAATTAATTATCGCATTTAAAATAGTGTCTAGGAATAACTGAATTTTATTGAATGTTTATTCATTGTTAAGCTAAGTGAACAAAAAATAAATGTCTTTTGATAATAATTATAATCGCATTTTATAAGACACATTTTAATAGTATATGTAGAATAGAATACATGATGTAGGAAAAAATGTATACGGTAGAACGAAATTATATTTGCGTCATTATTATTTTTAAAAATAAACTCTTCTTCGATCTATTGGTCCATGATATACTTGTATTAAAGTGACTAGTGTTTGCTTTCATCCATTAGTTCACTAAACTTATTCAAAGAAAAGATAATACTTAACTTGGATAATTCACATTCCCGACAATTTCATAATTAAAACTCAAAAACATATCGCATTCCTAATAAATATTCTTTGCCATCTCAATAATTTGACGCGATATGCTTTGCAACACAAATTCTGATTATGTGATTATTATTATAAAGAATGGCATAATATACAAACCACGAATAGCCTTTTCCAAATTCCGCCCCATTCTCGCAACACTAGTGTTACTTCTCGGACAACAGGATCCTCCAAAGGAATGACTGATTCGAATAATCCTTCGTTTTCGATTTTGCATGATTTTAAATGCACGTAAGAACTTGGGAATATCCCCTTTACAGCCCGATTTTTTATAGAGAAACCTCTGTACCATCCTGCAACAAAAATAATTCTTCGTCATTTAAAATATTTATTTTACTTGTCAATAAACGTTACCTCACTCTATATTAACATGTGTTTGAAATTTTTGTAAAATTGTTACATCTAATGTGTAAACCTAATGTATATTATTTACAAAATTTATTTTTAAAAGCCGATAATAATCAATTTCTTTATAAAATTGTATTTATCCATGAGTCTTGAACAAATTGAAGTCTATTTATATATCAAATTGTTATATATCAAAATATCATCTAAATTATAAATAAGATACAAATATTTTGGCTCGATAAGGATTTAATTATGAAATACTAGATTTAAAGATTTCACTCACAAACAAAAAATAATCGTATTAATCAATATATATTTAATTCAATACGAAACTTTAAGAACACTCAAATATTTAATATAGTCCTTAAGTATATATGTATTACTTATGTTTATATATATATATATACATATATACTTAAGGACTATATTAAATATTTGAGTGTTCTTAAAGTTTCGTATTGAATTATATTTAATTAAGCTAACGTTTACACTAATTAACTTAACTACACGCGTATTATTGAATTGTATAAATATGAACTAAGAATTACAAATTTAAAAAAAAAACACTGCAATTTCAGAAAAATTTGAAAATTATATTTCTTTTTTTCTGCTAATTTTTATTATACAGACGTTTTATTTGTCTGGTAATAAAAAAATTACATTTCCAATATTCCACTATTTTACAATTCATAAATTATTAACCGCCAAGTTGGAAAAATGTCATTAAGTCAGTTATTGATATATAATAAATATATCGATTATATATAAAATTGTATTAAATATATTAAATATATATAATATATATTATTAGTTATTATATTAGTTATTTCAAAGTTGAAGAAGTATAGCTATGGTATGTACGCTCAACTCCCAGCTTTTCCTCTTTTATTGGAATACATATCTTTTAATGTATGAGTTCATGGAAGTAAAATTTTTTAAATTTCTTTTTATGCCATTAAGATTGTAAATTACATCATGGAAAAATTCTTCAACAAGGCATTACACAGTTCCAGCGAAAAGCTTTCGCTCCGCAGATGAGACATGATCAGGCAGTTGAGGATAAACATACAATACCTGAGCACTCTTCCAGGATCTGCAGGGTTTCGCCGATTTCAAGGGGCAGGCCGTAGCGCGTGTCGCCTCGCCAGTTGTAAATGGCTGCAACAGAAAGAGCAAAGGGAAACCATTAAAAAAGCAAGAGCAACAATTACCTTGAAACTAAATTTGTATGCATAGGAGGCCCGGTACGTGCTAGACGCCGTTTAGTGAGGGGCCGCCCGTCGTCTGTTCTCGGTATCCAAATAATTTTTAATCGGATGCCTAATTCGTTAAAGTAAAGTGAACTGGGCTTTCGACGAAGGGGACGAATAATCACGAAAAAATCTGCACTCCCGATGGTCCTCGGCAATAATTGCAGTCGTCGTCGCTTGAGCGGTAGACGAAATTGTAGGAATTAGATAACGCAATTGGAAAATGAGATGAGCCAACGGCCAAAAGCTTTGTTGCCTCGGTCGATTGAGGCAACAATTAATACCAATTTTGTATGTAGAAAGGAAATAATCCTGTTTCCACATGTGTTCATGCTTAATGCATGCGCAACATAAAAACGACGTAGCGTCCCTTTTAGGTCTTGGCGGCAGTGTTGCTTACCTCTTTAAGTGCGCTCAACTTTTAATATTTTGTCCTCTTTGTTTTCAGAATGTTGTATCTTAACGATATAAAATAATATGAAATCATGATAAATAGTGTCTGCGTTTAACAATTAATGTAAAGATTTTAGATATTATATTAATTATTGTAAATTTAAAATATTTAGATAGAAATAACATTAAATTATAATTACTGTGCAATTCCATTCGTAATTGTACTTGAATCTATGAATTGAAAACGATAATTGTTTTTAACTGAAGTGATATTTTTTAAACCATTTAAATCATTTCGAACATGGATAATGGTTGGTTGAAAAAAAAACCATCAACACTTGAAATATAAAAGATATTAACAATAATTGACAATCGCGTCTGCATTATTAAAATTAGATAAATTAATTATTAATGATTAGTTATATCATTATCATGCATTATTCTATTGTATCGAAAGTGCATTAATTTGAAGCTAATAAAACGAATATTAATTTTTTTTTTCAGAAATAAAAAACAGGTTTTTTTTTTTTGTTTCATATGTGTGGTATCAATGAATTCGAACCTTTTCAGTTACACTTAATATTGGTAACATAATATTTCCAAGTTGGTATTACATACTATTTTTTCTATATATTCCTGTGTTAAATCTTGTTTTATATTATTAAATGAGATGTTTTTATTATTTATTATTATATTTAAATAATAAATTCTTATGCATAAAAGAAATTTTCAGAAATTATAAACTCGATACAAACATTCAAATTTCAGATACTAATTTTCTTCTTTCCAGTTAAGTTCTTTTTAATTTTGCACTCAAAATGAAATAATAGTAAACCGATGTATTGTTAATTTAATATTTAAAAGCTATTCTATTTTTTTGTTTTTCTTACATCGTTTCTCGGAATGGAAATAAAACTCTTCAATTCACAAAAAAATCAAAGTTCCGAATTTATCTTTTGACTTTTTATTAAAATATACAGAATGACCATCTCAACAATAAAAATCAATACTTTTATAATTGATGTTACTGCTTAAAAAATATATTCAAATTTTATCTATTTACCTCGTATATAATTTTTCATAATATGTAAAACTTTTGTAAATAAAAATGATATGTGCATTTAATTAAAATTACTCTTACTCTTCAGCAATAATTATTTAATTTTTATTGCTATTGAACGTTAATAAGACAACGTGAAAGGAAAGTTTGAGACAAGGCATTATTATTAAAAATATTCTTAAAACGTTTTCATTTTGTTTTTTAAACTTTTTTCATCTGTTAGCTACATTGATTATCATGTTGTTTAAATAAAGCATGAAAAGTAGGAATTTAATTTAAGAGAATACTATAATGTTTTTTTATTTTTCATCAATATAAGATATAGTTATACTTTTAAAGCAGTACAATCGTACTCTTAAAAAGTGCCTAAAATATTCTTCATCGGAAGAAGTCGGTGGGGGTAAAAGCATCAGTTCTGACGACAAAGAAGAAATCTCCATACAGTGATCGAGAGCGAGAGAGAGAGAGAGAGAGAGAGAGAGAGAGAGAGCGGAAACGCGCCACAATGCGCATATGATATGAGCTTCCGGTCGTTGCGCGACACGCATCCCAATGGGTCGAGATGATGCGACGCATGCGAATGCGCAGGAATCTGCGAACTCTTCCGGAACATCGTATCCTGTCTCGTAAGTATTCTAAAAACACGTGTGAGGGTGCGGGTAATCGTGAAAGACGCGCAAGTCAATATTTTCCTTTCGCTCTGATTGTAATCTATTTTGGCGAGTACTACATGTGCGCTTATCACAAAGAGGCTCGCATTCCCACGGAAGAGATGAGATATCAGTTGAGAATGAATATCTAGATTACTTATGAAAACAACGGAATAGTTCGTATGACTTGTTTTTGATTCCCACACTCAAGATCCTTTTACAAAAGCCATTGATTGTTTATGACCATTAATAGCTGTTGTCGACAAGAAACGTCAATTTTTTCCGATTTGTCGAGTTCTTTTATAAATTTTGGAATGCACTACGTCAAATCTTACTATTTTATTTTATGAAATGTTTTCATCGCCTGGTAGGATTTCCTTTTTACTTATAATATAATGAATGAAAAATATTGGGATGTTATGTATTATAAGTAGGCAATTATTTACTTTTAAAATGACCAGTAAAAGATATTCATTTATGATTTATTCGTTGACCCACACGTCAACAGGATTTAAACTTAACCTGAATACAAATAATTTTAGAGACAATTTCTGTAGCTATTGATAGAGGTATTCATGTTTATCACAATGAAAATCACTTTCCATTGTGTGATAAGCATTTTACTGTCGTCGGCAGCTTATTATTACATGACTATTGATTAAAAACTACGTTGCACTATTATGTTATTATTCAATTTTAATCTCAATTTGTTAATTAAGTGTTTCTCGCAGTTAATCAATTTTATATTATATAAAACTGACAGTAATACTTTCATGTATGTATTTAAAATTGAATAGTTTAAAATTACACGCTATTTAAGCGTTTTTTCTTAATGTATCTAAATTCAATGAATTTATTTAAATTTATAATTACAAGTTAATCATTAAAATTTTAAAAGAAGGCTAGAATAGTTAATTATTTGAAAATAATTAATTAAAGGAAATTTATTACACAGAAAGAATATTACTTTAATTAAAAAATGAATTATTAATTGTTTAATGGAGTAGTTTTCTCATTACACATTTTATTTCTTGATAAAGGTTTATGTGGAGTCGTAAACATTGTTTTCACAGAATAATTAAACACAAATTAATAATTTTTGATAATTATACATTAGATGTAAAATACTTGTATAACTTTTACATTATTTTATAGCAAATATATTATAATGTTTTATTGTAATTCGAGTAGAAAATATTAACCACATTCTCTTTAATTCTCATTCTTGTTCAAATTCATCATGCAATCATTGATCTAAAATTGTATTTTCTATTAAGATCATGCTTTTTTCAATATTTACTTTATTCTATACTAATATAAAATTAATAAATATAATTAATTATTTAATTAAGGAATCAAATAATTTAATCTTTCAAGGAATTGGAAATATTTATTGTAAGGTATTGAAAAACAAAATTTAAGGGTGCATTAAGAAAGATTAATACCGTTAAAGACTATGTAAAGTTTAAACCAAGGAGTTACATTGTACTCAAATAAAACAAAATCACATATCAAGATAACATTTCATCGAGCTGCAAGAGACTTTCGCGCTGAGACTCTTGTTTCCTTTTCGCAAAGAAGGCCATTAGGTCGATTGGCTATTTTCCAACTACTCGATGTAACCGCAGTTCCCAATACAAGTTGCGCTTAAATAAAGAAAATTGAAATTCGTAATGAAAATATTTTAAGATCAATTGAAAAAAAAGTAATCATATTTAGCAATGGTTTTAAAAAAAAATTTATCAATAAAATGTCAACGAATATAAACCAATAATAAAATTATAAAAAATATATAGTTCACATCTTAAGATTATTATTGAATTCATAAAATGTTGAAATTATTTCTTATTATTTAGATAGTCATTAATAATTTTTTATATATAAGACAAGTACACATTTAAAATTTTTTATTTTATTTCATAATTTGAGACTAAATTATGATAATTAAGCATTATATTATTCAAAATAGTAAAACTAAAATGCAATATATAATCTCAAAAGTTAATACTTTTATAAGGTACTAATAATTAAGAGCAGAAGAAATATTATATGATATGTTATCGTATAATATAAGATATTATGTAAAAAATATTTGTAATTAAAGTTTCATGCATCTCTGAACAGTAAGCACAATTTTTATTATCCCTTAATATTAATTTGGTTAATCTAAATTATAATAATTATATTTAAACTTACTCTCAATATAAAATTACGCATAAATTATTTAAATATTTACAGATATATATTAATAATATATAACGTTTTAAAGTATATTAGAACTTTTATTTAATTTCATGACGATCAGACTTTTTCATGAAGATCAAAAAATGGTATTTAATTTTTACTATAATTATTGAATACAAAGAAGAATAAGAAAGTAATTATAGTAAGTAACTTTTAGAAAACACTATTGAAAATCGATTGATTTTTACCTGATGATAGTTTATCTACAAAATTTGTTTACATCTCATAAATAATATTCATTAAACAAGATTAAATAAATTATTATATAAAAAATACAGTTAAAATAAAATTTTTACTATATTATGATTCCTAATTATTTGAGGGTAATATACAAAATTCTGCTATGTATATTTTAATTTTTTTGTAATATACGATCGTATTTAAATATTTTTAAAATGCATCCATCAACGAGAAGTAAACAAATTTTGTACATAATACCTTTAGATAATTAAGAACGGTTTTTCAATTGTAACATATATATACGTGTGTGTGTGTGTGTGTGTGTGTGTGTGTGCGCGCGCGCGCGCGCGCGTATGTGTGTAAATAAATATTTATATACAC